CATGCAAAACGGTGCCCAAACCTTTGTATTTTAGCTTTATTTATGTCTTACACAGCATCCCAACTCTTTAGCTAACTTAATAACTTTAGCTAAAGTGAATAGTTAGTCTAATTCATTAGTGCAGCATTACTGGATCATCTCTGTTTGAAGTGATATAATATGATATATATATGATATAATATGATATACAACTACCACTGTGTTTAACTACCATAATAATTCTTAGGGTACTGAGTGCATGCTTAATTAGATTTTTTTTTTTTTTTAAAAACATACTGCTCCATTACTATGTTAGAACTGAAACTGAATGGTGAGAAGTGAAACTGAAATTATTCGAGAGCTGAATTTTTAAAGGATAAAATGCAGTTTCAAAGCAAATCAATTCATTTTCAAAATATAAAATTCAATTTCAATTTAGTGATGATCATTTTCAAACCATAAATTCAATTTCAATTTAGACTAATTCAAATTCAGTTTTCAAAAGCATTTATTCAAGTTACAATTCAGATTCAATCTGAGCAATTCAAATTCAAATTTAACTTATTCAAATTCAGTTTCTGATGGCACATATTTCTGCCCATACTCCCTCCCCGCTCTGTTCCTGTGCAAATCTAACTACCGCCCCTCCCCCTTCTTCCCAGCGCAAAGCACAAGGCTGGCATGCAGAAAAAAAGTGTGAGGGAGAGGGTGAGAGAAGGGGGGAAAAAAACACAGCTAGCGATAAGGAGCTGTTTCGCGTCGTTCACGTCAAAGACCCGGCTCTAAGAGCCGTTTCGTTCGCGACCGACACATCACTAGTGTGTTAGCCCAACTATTAGCCTAAAAATCAGTATTATATGAATCATGAGATTAAAACACACTTACCTAGCCTAGCATGTTTTAGGTCCTGCAATTGGTCCGTCGGGTTATTGTCTCCCCAGAAACACTTCCCTTGTGCTTTTGGAAATCTGTTTTTTCCTGTTTCTGTTTTTTTTCTATTTCTGTCTTCTTTTTTTCTATTTTTGTTTTTCGTATTTTCATAATGTTTTGTGTGCTTCTGCAGGATTTTTCTTATTGCTGGTGTTTTGTTAAGTAGCAGTCCGTTTGGCCTCTCAGGGCTCCATACCTTTGTGACTTTCCTCCCTTCATACTCGAGTTGAGACTGATTCAGTGCAATTTATATTAATAGATGGTATTTTCCCAATACCAATTATGATGAGCTCACCTCTATACTTCCATCTTACTGTAGCACCACCACCAAGTCTGTCAAAGTTTCTGAACTTTTTCCGTAGCATTGTAAACGTTGTTTTAAAAAAAAAAAATTTAATTTAATTTTTAAGAAAAAATTGCAGTAATGTTTTAAAATTGTGCCTTTTCACGCTCTAGTTCTTGCCCTTTAATTTGTTCCTCCTGGTCAAAAGTTTCCTGATGTTGTAATATCATTAATTGTTTTTGTTGCTTAAAAATTAAGGAGCCTCCAAGCCCACCAAAGCAGGAACAGCCTTAACAGAGGACTCAGGACTGCTCAAAATGATGTACTTCCATGACTGCCTTGGGCAATCTATGCCAAAATGCTCATCAAAATTTTAACAGCTGACCTATTGTCAAATCTTCCTTCATTTTAAAAACAAGGAAAAGCAAAGCCCAAATGTATGTGAAGGAGACTGTAATGTGGACATTTCTTTTTCTGTTTTCTCTCATTTGGATGTTAGGATTTATGATTGCGTTACGGAAAGAAACATAGTTTGTGGTGTCATGTGGTGCCTGATTGCATTTTGCAAACACCTAGCTTAGCCTGTCAAGACAAATCTTTCCAACTCTGAGTGAATAAAAAATTTTCTAAACTGCGTGATGCTAAAGTAGGTATGCTTTTGCCTGGTGCAACTTGTAGACGTGTATTTTTATTACTTTTTGTGGAGGGAAATATATTTCTTAATTTACACAGGAAACTTGGATCTAAAGTGTAAGCTGTAGCTATGCTTGATTTGTATTTAATTGGGTATTTTTGTACTAATATAATATTTGCGCCTGCAAAGCTATTTTTTAAAGAGAAAAAAAAAATATTGTCACTGTTTTTGGTTATGTATGAAGTGTTGTGTGCACTAACTGCCTTATAAGAAGTTTGGTAAAGCAAATGTATTTATTAGATTAGATTAGATAGAACTTTATTAATCCCTCGGGTGGGTTCCTCTGGGAAATTCGATTATATTCCAAAGTATGAAAAGTATACTAATAATGGCAATGTTTCATTTCAACGTATAGTATGTTGACATGAAAGAAAGCAAATGCTCTCAAATTATGGAAACGGCCAATGGGATGTGTTTTGTTTGACACGTGATGCACATGTATATATTTGGTGGCTGTCATTAAAGTTGCTCTCTCTTGGTTCATCATCCAAAATGGCCAAAGGCTGATGTCTGTTTATTCGTCCCTACTTATCGTTGGTGCAGTCTATTATTCATGTCAGACTTCTCTGTGGATTTCATTTTCTGCTAACATAGTAACTGCAACCTTTTGTTCATTGTACTCCTGTATTGTCAGACAAAGTGAGTGTTTAAAACACATAGCCTCAAGCTATTTCCCTGCAATCTCACACGCTTTATCACCTAAACAAAGCTAAACACAGGTCCAAAGTTTTGTAACCAAATAAAGGGTCTGGGGGAGTTACATTTGTTACAGTTCTAAACTGCACCCTCTGATGAAGATTAGTCTCAAGAAAAGTTGGATATTGTTGAAAAAAAAACAACAACTCTCCATTTAAAATCTCTAATGCTGTGATGATCAATGGTATTGCTATAGATGATAAGAAAGTGGGAGAAATTACAGATTTTCTTAAAAGGTTTCGCTCCACTAATAGGATCATATTAGTAGATGAGCAAACCTCTAAACTGCATAGACAGGCAGTTGATATAGTAGTACCCATTCCATCCTCCCTAAACTTAAAAACCTAGCTAAGGTAATTGGCAGGGATTATGTTCTCAAGGACATTATGGCCCAAATCAGTGAGTCATCCACAAATCTTTTGCCTTCCACAGCCAAGTTACTACCTGATTTAACTGAGACCCACCCCACTAAATCCCGTGTTAGAGTTGACTCCCAGAAAGTACCACTTAAATCACTTGGTGAAGTTCAGATCGCTCCAGCAATACACGTGATCTCAGTCCATCAGAGTGAAGCATGTAGTGGAGGAACACATTGTAAAAAGGAAATACGGTACACTGCAGATTCAATCTTCGCAGAGGCTGCATCTGCAGGCTGCAAAATCCCTAAACTGAATCCTGAACCATACTTTAACATCTGGTGCTCCAGTGCTGAACTGATCAGCACTGATGTGGTCCTTCCATATCAAGCATCAGAGGTTGAGGAGAATTCTTAAAAACCTTTTATCTCCAGCAGTTGATGTATTAAAACATTTAAGCTTCAGTAGCTTACTTGCTATATTTCCACTTACCCAAATCTGATTATGGAAGGAGCCATTCAGCAATGGCTCCATTGACACAGTAACTACTGTTTTATATTCTGGAGCTCCACATGAAAGTAAGGAGAAGAAAGACAGGCTGCAGAGCTAGAGTGAAGTCTTGGGAAAACCTTCCATATCATATGTCATTACGAGAAATCTAAGATCTCTGTCCGATAAGATGGAAGAGCTAACAACATTAACCAGTCCGCACAAGACGTATTTCGCATCGTGCTTCTCAGAGAAGTGGGTGAATTAATTCGTTCTGGACTCAAAAAGCAAAGGAGACTGGCAAAAGGAAGGAATTTCTACTGGAATGCCACCTCGGGTCAGATTTTCATCTTGGAAGATGCTGACTGGTTGACAGGTGGGCAGCAATAAGGAAAGTGAAGGAAGTGACAGTTGATACTTTCATTGTTTTTAACACTCTTTTTCACTTCAGGTCTTTGTAAGTTATAACGCTCTTATCTGCAGCTGGCGATGGGCCAACAGCAGCACACGAAAGAGTGGCCCACAGACTCGCTGTACCAAATATTTTGAACACTGCCTCACTGTGGCAATACGGCTCTATGGAGGCAGGCAGGCCATCCCCAAGCTGCCAAAAACAGTGAATGTGCTAGACAAAGAGAAAGGAAGTGACACCTACAAGAGAAAATTGGAGGAGTGGCTTAAGGGAATAATGCAAGGACATTCTGGAGGGGTCTGAAAACAATCACCGGCCAAGACAAAGCCAGCAGAAGGTGCCCAGAATATGATGGAAGGTAGTGGGCTAACCAACAAAACTGAGTGTTTAAAACAATGAAAAGTGATCCGTGGTTTTCATGCTGTATTTTTTCTCTCTTCTTCTGTTCCTGGTAAACTCCACAGTTGCTTCGTTCCCTATTCTGACCCACTTGTCAACCAGTCAGCATCTGGCCCATGCATATGTCATCCATATCCAGTGACATGCAGCTGAGATTTGGGATGATTAATGGTCAATGAAAAATTGTTATCCAAACGGAAGTACGTGCAAAGACACAAATTTAAAATACAGTCACTTTAACGAAACAAACTGCACCATAATCTGGTTTATAGTTTTCAAAAGATGTGTACGTCTATGACATTTGCGCAATATTTCATCACTGTATGTGTATATACACATAGTGTGTATGTGCTAATGATAATGATAATGATAATGCTAGGTAAGTGAGCACTTTATGTGTATACAGTCTGTACAAAGACGTGGTTTGCAAGTTTAACTTGGACTTGTTGCTGATGTTGTGGGCAGAATACGTAGTCTTGATAAACCCAAAACATGATGGATCTGAATACTTGAGAAATTTATGATCACAAAGCATCTGTGCCATAAGACAACTTATTGTAGAAACAATGGTAAAAGCATATGTGAATAAATTTGCTGAATAACCCTTTACAACTTTACATCAATAATCCTTGATGTTGAAAATAAAAGCCTCCATCAAGATTTTCACTTGATGCGATATTTAGATTGACATTTAGATTATGTTTAAAGTTGATTTGGTTAAACGTTTTCAAATGTCGTTCAATTATGTTCAAATGTTAAATTTCACATTGCTTTCTCTTGTCCTTAATGGAAAATGAAAAACATGCTGTAAAAATAAGACTTATTATTAAGCATCCAATTTCAACCTACCCCTGTATTCTTAAAGGTGTAAATTGGACTTCTGTACTATTAAGTTAAACATTTGCATTGATTAAATATGCTGATGTCATTGCTGAAAGACCCAGCGTACACAGAGGAGCTCAGGTGAGAGGCACATATTCATTTTTAATAGAATTACCTTTACCTATACTGTAACTTCATGAGTGCTGCAATGCTGCTTTGCTCTCCTTATACAGTTCCTACCTTCTCCTGCATTATAGGCGAGGATGGAACGAGTTCTGGTCTGTTTGCCCTCTGTGTTCTTTCCAGAGCAGGTGTGGGAGCAGAGAGACCAGGAGCTCCAGGGGCTCAAGGCACAGTCCTTAGGGCAAGGCACCTCGCAGATAAATGGCATAGGAAGGATGGCATCCTGGCAGAGTTGTCGATCCACATGTTCACCTGGGTGAATACAAAGAGAATTAAGGTACTGTGCCAAATTTAAAATGTGTTATAAAGTTAAAAGATAATAATAACATTCATTAAATTAAACAGGGCTAAGAAAGCAACATCAAATTTCCTTCAAAAAGTCACTTTAAAATAAAGGCTGTGAGTGTGAAATGTTGCTTTTCTTGGTGGGACTGCCAAAATGACTAAAGGGAAAATTGCACTTTCTAATGTGGTAACTAATGTAACTAATGACCAACATTGTAAATTCTTTTGCATCACAGTTTTATTGCCTTAAATTAAAAAACTGAAATAAACAGCAACAATAGATAATTTCTGGCGCCACTCCGAGCTGGCAGCCAGTATTAGTAGCTCCGGCCTGACCGAGTCCTTTTTTCTCTTTCTTTGTTGTTTCGTGTTCTTGTTTTTATATTGTGGACTGTACTACTCCACATTCGACCTCCGAATTTTATGGACAATTGTGTTTTTTATCATATTTTTTACGGTATCTGTGTCCGGAGAGTGCGTGGAGGTGTTAGCCCTCGGGGTCTCCACTGTTCTGCCTACCGCCGAGCGAGCCAACATCCCCCGCGAGGTGAGGAGGAAGAGACGCGGCACTCGGGCGGGGATCAAGCATCGCAGTAAGGTTAGGAGGTACCGGCCAGTGATTCCATCGGGTATTATGGGGAAAGTGAGATCTCTCCCCAATAAAGTGGATGAACTGCCGGCTCTAACCCGACATCAGAGGAGCTACAGGGAGTGCAGCGTGATGTGCTTCACAGAGTCGTGACTAACCGCGCTAACTCCGGACTCACACGTAAACATTCCATCTGATCCGGGCCAACAGAACAACGGAGAGTGGTATGAAGAGAGGAGGGGGCCTGGCTGTGTTTGTGAACGATAGATGGTGTAACGCTGGGCATTTATCTATCAAAGAGATGCTAAGCTGACCTCCTATTTGGTCTCCCTAAAAGGTCCCTTCATAAACTCCAACTTCTTCAAAATTCTGCAGCTCAAGTCATAACTTGCACTCCGTTAAGAGCTCATATTACCCCAGTTCTTCAGCAGCTTCACTGGTTGCCCGTAGAAGCCAGGATAAATTTTAAAATCTTACTTGTGTATCCATAAATCTGCTCCTTCATACTTGTGTGACCTGCTCACTGTTTCCCGCCCTCTCAGATCATCATCTGCTATTCATCTTACTGTTCCATCCTCACGCCTTGTTGCTATGGGGAACAGAGCTTTCAGTCGCTCTGCTCCTCGGCTCTGGAACTCTCTTCCTCCAGCCATAAGAAATATTGACTCCCTTTCCATATTTAAGACACAGCTCAAAACACATCTGTTTAAACTGGCTTATTCGCTTTAATGCTGATTTTATCTGTTGTCAAGCTCTGTTTTGCCATTTTAACTTATTTTATATATTTTATGACTATTGCTCCTTTTATTAATTTTGTTCTTTGTAAGGTGACCAAATAAAATGTATTATTATGATTTATTATTATTAAGCTGCTAGCGGTTAGCATGAGATCGTACTATCTACCGCGAGAGTTTCCACACGTCATTATGATAGCTGTGCATGCCCCGCCCTCTGCTAACGCTGCAGCAGCCTGTGAGGTCCTGCACACTGTAACCAGCAGACTCCAAACACAGCACCCTTAGGCCCTTTTCCTGCTCTCTGGAGGCTTAAATCACATCTCCCTGTCGTCCACTCTCCCCACCTTCACCCAGTACGTCACCTGCCACACCAGAGACAATAAAACATTGGACTTATTGTATGCCAACACCAAGGAGGCATACAGCTCATCACCTCTCCCTCCCCTGGTTCATCTCCAGCCTGTGTATAATCAGGGGTGCACATAAGACCTGCAGGGACACCGGCCCTCGTGGACTGGGATTGGGGACCCCTGCCATAACAGAATAACACAACCAGATAAAGGACCGAGCAGACAAGGAATTTTACGAGCGGCAAATAGTTCATCACATAGCATGAGTGTTTCTGCGGAGGGACTCGCCTGTCCATAAGTCCCCCAATGGAAAGTGTGGTGGTGGGGTACGCCATGTCTCCCAACTGCCTGGTGCACATCACCACTCCTCACCTATAATTAGAGTTGGTGGGTTTAGCACACAGGCAGCAAGCCACCCACTTGTCACAGCGATTGCTAGCTACCTGCCTGAGACTGTGCTGTCCTTAAAGTGGAAGTGTGGGCCTTGTCGATGCCCATCGTCATTGTTGCAGCACTGGCAGTCCTACACCCAAGCCTTGTCGCTGCAGCAGCTTGGCACAAATGGCTTGACACTGCAACAGCAGCAGTCACCACCCAGCACATCATCAGTCTTTCCACCTGGATCAGTCAACATCGGGACCGCACCCAATTCCTATGGCTAGGACAAGGGCTGCCTGGATAAGCCAACACTGGGCCCAAGCCAGAGAGTGATTCCCTATCCACTAGAGATTGAACATGAGCAGAGACTAAGCACACTACATCCATTCCAGTTTCAAGGCTGAGGGCGGTCAGGCCCCAGCCTCAGCCTCCAGAGTTAGCCAGTATTGGCTGTGCAGGACACGAAGGCCTTCTTCTTCTGCTTGTCCATCCACCCTTTAATTCTACAGTTTTGACTTTTAAATTTGTTTTGTTCTACAGCAACTTGCTCTGTTTATACTATCTCTTTCTCTATGTGTGTGTTTAAAAGATTGTAATGCTATGTTCTAAAGCTGTAAGACTCCAGAGAACCACAGAGGAGAGTCATGGCAAAAGTGGCGAACTTTCCCTGGAATTGCCGGCCGATCAAATTTAGCCCAAGAGAGTAGCGATGACTCATTCAAGAGGTCACAAAAGACCACAGAACAACATCCAAAGGACTGCAAGCCTCACTTGCCTCAGTTAAGGTCAGTGTTCATAACTCCACCATAAGAAAGAGACTGGGCATCAACAGCCTGCATGGCGAGTTCCAAGACGAAAAACACTGCTGAGTAAAAAGAACAAAAAGGCTCGTCTCAGTTTTGCTAGAAAAGATCTTGACAATCCCTAAGTCTTTTGGGAAAATACTCTTTGGACTGATGAGACAAAAGTCAAACTTTTTGAAAGGTTCGTGTCCCGTTACATCTGGTGCAAAAGCAACACAGCATTTCAGAAACGGAGCATCATACCAACAGTAAAATATGGTGGTGATAATGTGATGGTCTGAGGCTGTTTCACTGCCTGGTACACTTTCTGTGGTAATGGAACCATAACTTCTACTGTCTATGGAAAGAGAATGTCCAGCCATGTGTTTGTGACTACAAGCTGAAGCACACTTGGGTTCTGATCCAAAACACACCTGCAAGTCCACCTCTGAATGGCTAAAGAAAAACAAAATGAAGACTCAGGAGTGACTTAGTCAAAGTCCTGACCTGAATCTGACTGAGATGCTCTGGGATGAGCGATTCATGCTCAACCCTCCAACATGGCTGAATTACACCAATTCTGCAAAGACGAGTGGGACAGAATTCATCCACAGCGCTGTAAAAGATTCATTGCCAGTTATTGCAAATCTTGACTGGAGTTGTTGCTGCTAAGGGTGGCCAAACCAGTTTTGGAGATAAAATATCTGTATTTCAGGTTCGGGACCATGCCTACAAACACACCCCTTCTGGTTCTTATCTGTAGGAGCTGCTATCAGTCCCCTCCGAGGCCTTCCCCAAACCAGAGCTCAATTCATGTTTAAGCCATTCACCTTTATCTACTAAAAACACTGTCAAACCTAAAACATACAGGACATGGGCCCAGGTAATGAAATTAGATTTAGGGGCAATCCCTTTTTCACACAGGGTCATGTCATCCCCTTAATAATAAACACCTTCTTTTAGAAACAGCATTTTGTATTTAACTAGTAACAAACAAAACCCGAAACCATAACTCACAGAACAACATGCAGGAAAAAACATAAGGAGGTGACATAGGGGATGAGGAGTGGAGAATGAAGCGCAGAGAGACACAGATATTCACCAAGTTACACAGACGGTGCAAGGACAAACAGAGGCAAACACACACTATAAATACACACCAGGTAATGAGGAAATGACACGCAGGGGTGGAGACAGCTGAAACTAATGGCATAACGAGACACAGACCTTCAAAGTAAAACAGGAAACTCACAAACTGTTTTGCACCACAAACTCCGGGACATGAACAGAGCACAGGGGAGAAGAACACAGGTAGGAACAATAAAACACTAAACACCAGAACCAAAACCCGAAGAACTAAGAAAACAAGAATTAACCCGAAACATAAGATGCCACCGATAATAAACACAAAACACTGGGTCTAACAACCCAGGACCATGACACAGTTCGACTACAACAACAATAGACCACAAACTCAGAATCCCAAGATTCTGCCTCCTCAGGCAAGAAGCTGACGAGCATAAAATGCAAAACTGCAAAACTACCAGACTGAGAAGCAGCTTAATTCCAGAAGCTGTGAGACTTCTCAATGCATAAATGGAGAAAAACTGATATTGCAGCACCTTAACCACTACTGACACTTACTGACACCATCACTTTATCACTGCTGGTCATCAAGGCCTTTTGCTGCTAAAGTAGTTATACCTACATTCTATATCCAAACTCCATACTGGTACTCAGGTTGTTGCACTCTATTTATCGTATTATTTTATTACTTGTTATTCTGTTTTCTTAACCCCCCCCCCCCCAAACTATTTATTTATTACTTTTGAAAAAAAAATTCTGTTTCTTCGTTATTCTCTTTCTTTTTTCTTTTCGCTCCGGGACCGTGTGTACATAATTTTGTTCACCTCATGTAAACATGTGATGCAAATGACAAGAAAGCTCCTTGAATCATTGAATCCTTATGTCTGTGTAAGTGAGAGGAAAATCCCTGAGGCAAAGTAGCTATACACTCACACTAGAACATGATGAAATTGGTCATAACAGCACAAACAATAGGGAAATCTACATTAAATACAGTAAATACAGTGTTGGGCAAGGAGCATATTGAGATTAACCAGGATAGAGGACAAGAATCTCTGCATCAGTCAAAGTGAAAAGACTGACCTACATCACACTGACTACAACCTAAAAAAATGATTCATTTACATCATCGATGTAGTGTGTCTCATTGCCAAACAATTCTAAACCACTGAGACTTTTACTTTAAACATATGCATTTCTAAAATGATGCTATCTTTTGATTGTGAAAAACACACAGAGATGTGAATGGGACGGCAGACTACGATAAAATCATCGATGGACTACTTAGAAATAAATAATCATCCTAAAAGGTGTAAGAAACATCCCAGCACAGGTGCCACACAGCCTCCTAAAGTATGATGTACATAACACATTATCACCCACCCTTAGGCGAGCTTTCACAGCAGCTTTAAAGGCACGTGCATCATGATGAGTGGATGTCTATCAACAAATTTATAAGCCACTGTCCAATTTTCCATTATCAAGATAAAATTCACTCATGCTCACATCTTACTCCTTATTGTGCTTCTATCTGTGTGACATGCCTAGTGTGAAATGTCAGTGCCAACTGAAAGACAACTGTGTGATAAAGCCAGTGCGAGTGGGACCGCAGGTCACCTGTCATCCATACCTGCACAGAGGGCAACAGGAAAACTCAGTGACAGTGGAGAAATGCCCCTGACTTTCCACTGGCACTGTTTCTGTGGTGATGGCACATAGTGTGCCAAAATTACATAAAGTATTTTTAAAGTAGACAATTTTAAGCATAATTGTCACGTGACTCTGTGTGAATTACACTTTCTGTAAACATTATCTTCTGTCTACTCAGAGAGACCTGACTACAGAAAATCATCAGTGTTTTGAGTTTTCTACAGTATGAAGATAGTACCCTGGGGATGTTTTGCTAGCAGAGTGATAGATAATTTATGGAAAGTGTCAAAACACCACAGTAGCTTTTGCTTGGAACCAAAACTTAAAGGCAATCTCCAAGCACTTCAGAGACCAGCTACTCCTAAACCTCGGACTAGGATAAATATGTTCACATATACTCACCGTCACTATTGACACACTGGACCTGAGGGATCTGGATTCCTGGTCCACACTTCTCCTCATTATCTGGGATACAGTCCTCCAGTTTAACCCCCAGCCAGTCGTAGCAGCTCGGGTCTTCACATGGTATGGCCTCCACCAGGTGGGGGCAGTTTCCTGTCCCACCTGTTGGTTCATTGATGATTCTCCTCTTCCTCAATTTAAAGCCTTTGGGGGAACAACAGAAATCTAATGAGCTACATGATCTCAAACTAATAAACCATGGCTACCCCTGTGTGTAAGCTTGTGTACAACTGTAGCATATTTTTTCACCAGATGTTTTTTATTGAAATATTGCTTTTAACAGTCCATTGTTACATGTAGCACAAGTGACTGAGATCATGCTTTTGCTGGAGCAGCTCCAAAACTGTGGAACGGTCTCCCTTTAGAGATTTTTAGTTTTATTTTCGTTGTTTTTAGTTGATTCTATGCGGTTTTATCTTGTTTTTTTTAATATAGGGCTGTTTTAATTTTTATGTATTGTGTGTTTTATTTATTTATATTTGCTGTTTTCTGTTATTCTATTGTTTTTGACCTATTCTCTGTACGGCACTTTTGTCCTGTGCCTGGTATTTTAAAGTGTTTTATAAATAAAATTGGATGGATTAGGAGTTAAATTAACAAAGATTCAAAGAACTTTGCATGATGAATAATGCAATGCATATATCCATCACACCCGCTACTTCCACAAAGCCACCAGCATTGTGGAAAACCCCTCACACACAAGCTTCAATCTGCTGCCTTCTGGCAGGTACCAGGCGCTCACTGCCAGACCGTGAAACAGTTTCTTCGCCCAAGCCGCCAGACTCCTGAACACACTGGACTAACACACACACACACACCTTCATATATCAAGTTACTTTCTGCACAACCTACTGTCATTGTTGCGCTTTTCTATTGCATGTTTGTGTCTGCGCTGTCTTGTGCCTGTATTGTTCGGTTTCTTTTGCAATTTTTGCACACTTGCAGTTTATGTAGTCCTGCATTGATTGTCTGTTATATGTTGCACATGACTAATGCCTGAAGAGAAAAATTAATTTGGGAAATTTTTTGATCGGCAAGAGTTGAGGTGGGGATTAGGGTTGTATAAACGAAGATGAGGACTGAATGCTATACTCTCAGTCATCACTGACTTGCTATCTGCAGAGTGTATCATGGATGCAATAACTGAAAGGCAGGAGTGAAGGCTATGTGATAGGTTATGAATCTTTGTTTTGACATGAAGATTTTGGCTCTGTTTATTTTTAATTTTGCATTATTCATTTTGTCCTAAAACCATTTCACATTTTGAAAAGGCAACTGTCATCTACTAAATTCAGTCAGATGTGGCTAATTAACATTAATTAAGATGATAGCACTGAAGTTTTATCCAGGTCACATGTCTTATTCTTGAACACTGCTGACTGCATAAATTGAGGATACATAGCTTGGGACTTGGTCAAGGATGTCATAGGCTGTCTATATAGTAAAACATGATGGCAACCTCCCTCTTGTGGAATTCAGAAAGTGAAATGTGACATAGAAAACAAGTGCTCAGTTTGCTGTTGAACACTTACTTTGATATAAATCTGACACTTTTTTTTACTGTTTTGACACTGTACTGTACCCCGGTAGATTTTACTGGGAAAAGATGTGTGTGCAGTGAAGACTTTCAGTTTTAAAAGGTTTAACAAAATTCCTTAGATGCACTTTTATACATAGTCCCATATTTTCAGACGTCCAACATTCAAAACTGACTGAAAAGCAGTTTCTTTATTCAGTCATTTAGTCAGTCACAAATGACCTGAAGTTCAATTCAAGTGTTGAACTATTTAGTGGCTGTTCACTGGAAATGTCAACATGAGGTCCAAAGAGATCTTGATGCAAGTCATTCATGAAAAATTGAAATAAACCTATGAGAGAGATAGAAAATACTTTAGGAGTGGCCAAGTCAGCAATTTGATGTATTCTTTATCCAGCTCAGTGACATTGGAAGGACACAGGAGACGAATAAAGTGGCTGATCACAAAATACTTTCCTTGGTTAAGAACACTCTTAATGAGGTCATTTTTCAAATCTACAATCAAGACACACCTTTCTGAATGAAATGCCTTCATGAAGGAAAATCATTGGCTTTACAGTAAAATTTCGCACCCCTGGTAAAACCCAACAACAGGAACACAAGATTAGATGTTAAGAGAAAACAGTTCTGAAAAAAATAGTTCTGAAAACAAACAAACCAAACAAAAATAAAAACATATGAAAACAAGATTAAATTGAATCACAAGGAGGAAGAGAAAAGCAAAGATAAGGAAAGGAACGCCTCATGATTCAAAAATTACCACATGGCATGGACATGTGAAACCAACTCACTAATGTTTATTGATGACTTGACTGCAAATTGAAGTTGCCAGATAATTTCTGAAGTGCACAGGTTATACTCAGGACGACAGCTGCAAAAAAGGTCTGACAAAGTATCTCAAGGGAGGGAATGGACTGACAGTGACACACGATAAAAGTAAATAAAGCCAGAAGGATCCATTTCAACAATTTCTAGTCATCCTTTTAATTTGATGTTCTTCATTAAGGCAGAGTCATGGTGGACACTGCTGTTCCAGGGATAACTAGAGATGAAGCAGTGACTGTGTCAACTCTACTGATGGACTAACATCCCCACGACAGCAGTCAGAGACCCATTCCAACTGTATGGCTTCTGTAATTGATTTTGACTTTATTGTCAACATCAAGTTTAACATTTGCAATACACAATCAAAAACACAGTAAAATACTACAGAATATGAAGGTAGAATGTTTTGTACATTGTAAATCTGGGTAAAAGTCAATGCACTGCAAATTTTGTTGGCTTATTTGTTTTATTGGGGCACAATAACAACCGTAGGGCAGATGAAGGGGTATGCAATTTTTAAAGGGAGATTTCAGGAAAGTAAACCCTACAGAACTCCTTTGATTAGTCACTTTATGACACAATATACTATTGTAACCCTAACAGTATCTCTTACCTTTCTTGGCTACCTGGTCTTGACAATTTTCATACGTGCAGGGTCCCCACGTGCGCCACGAAGATACCTCACAATCAACAGGACAGCTTATGTGGCAGAGTTGGGTGGTGTTTGGAGGAATACCCAGACAAAGCTTACTGTCCACTGGCCGCAGTGCTATAGAGACACAGACAAGCACAAAGACACAGTGTTAATCTATGCCAAAAAGGCTTTAAGACATAGTTTAAAAACAAACTAGCTCATTAAAATGGTAAATGGACTTATATAGTTCTTATATAAGGCTTTTCTACTCTACCTGAGCACTCAAAGCCTTGTAAAGTGATTAGAAAGTACAGAGCTATCTGTTCAGTAAGTGGTGCTGAGGGTGATAATCCATGTATTTTCGCATATACCCACAGTCATGTGACTTCTACAACACATGACAGACGGCATAGTGAGTCCTGATTGTCAGTTGACCTCTGCTCCATCAGCTGCAGATGGCTGTCTGCAAGGTCGTCAGGCTGATGAGTCATCATAGTTGTGTCACATGCACTCATGTGACATAGTTGTGTCACATGAGTGCATGAGTTCTGCTGCAGCAGAACTCATGCACATACAAATTGCTTAGCCAAAGGTGTGTCCTTTAATAGCGTTGCTTGGTAGGCAGTAGACGACATGCCCTTGAGTGCTAATGTGGCAAAAGCTGGCGGATGAGCAATCCAGTCACTTTATCATGGACTACTGGTGGTTCTATTGTTAATATTTTGGGAATAGCGGGTAAGATAGAAAGCAGTCATTTTCTTTCTCATAGTGTTACAACCACCACTGCCCTGTGATGCTCTGGGTGAGTGAAACAGAGCTGGGCCCCAGAGCAAGAGTTTGTCCGTTTGAGTCACTCCTGTCACATCTAATTTTCTTTCTTGCTAGAAAGTTCAAAAAGTACTTCAAGCTGAGATCTAGGCTGGCTTAAGTTATTGATGTGATTTATAGACTGCCATTCAACAGTTATTCAACATCAACAAAAAGATTTTTTAAGTTTGCAATCTGCAGCTGTTTGGAAATAGGTCAAGGCGAACCTCCTCATCTTGTGTAAATCTACAATTTTCCCTCTTCGATCTTTTTGTTCTCATTCCAAGATATTCCATCTTTGCCTCTCTTTGTCTCCAAACTGCTCAGTTTGAACTTTACCTCTGATATACTCATTTCTAATCGTATTCCTCCTGATTACACCTGTTTTACAGGAGGAGATCACTGACATGGGTTTTCATCATCAGGCTGTCCAACCTCTCCCTGACTCGTGCCACTGTTCCTACTTGTCTGAGGGCCTGCACCATCATTCCCATCCCCCAAATACTGGAATAGACAGCCTCAGTGACTACAGACCTATAGCTCTCATGTCTGTAGTCATGAAGTGTTTCTCAGCACACCAGAGACTGCCTGCCTCCCTCCTCGTTCAACCCCCACCAGTTTGCTGAACAAGCAAATCAGTCCACAGAGGATGCCATTACTATCACCCTTCACAGAGCACTGAGCCATCTTGAGATGAGGATGCTCTCCGTGGACTACAGCTTAGCGTTCAGCAACACAATCCCAAACATCCTCATCACCAAACTGGGCCTCCTTCAAATCCCCCCTTCCACCTGCTCCTGGATCAGGCCACTCACAGAAGGACTCTACTTAGACCTAGTCCAATGCAAGGTTGTTATCGTTAACAAAAACTAACCAAATAACAAACACTAGAAGTAAAAAAGCATTTTTGTTGGATGGATGATGGATGTAGAAAAAAAAAAAGAGACTTTGTAAAAAAAAAAAAAAAAAAGGAAAACTAACTAAAACTAGAATGAGCTTTCACAAAACTAACCAAAATTAACTGAATTTATATAGAAAATTGTTTAGTTTTCGATGATGTGTGTGTCTGTCATACATTTGTCCAGACACGTGCAGAGGGTGGGGGTGGAAGGGGCTTGAACACCGACCCCTTTCCCGATGGTGCCCCAGTTTTCTTTTTACTTATTTGAACCATTGCATTAATCAGCAGCATTTGAGTTGCATATTGACTTGTTGGGGTGGCTGTAGCTCAGGTGGTAGAGCGGGTCATCTACTGATCGGAAGGCTGGTGGTTCAATTCCTGGCTTCCTCCAGTCTGCATGCCAAATATCCTTGAGCAAGATACTAACCCCAAATTGCTCTCTGATGTATCCATCGGAGTATGAGTGTGTGTGAATGTTACCTAGAAAGCACCTAGAAAAATGTGCGAATGGGTGAATGCACAAGTTGTGTAAGGCGCTTTGAGTGCTCAGAAGAGTAGAAAAGCGCTGTATAAGAACCAGTCCAGTCCACTTGTCTGATGCATATGAATATGTAGAAGAAATCTACCTACACTCATTTATTGGCTGATATCGTAATTGTGTCTACTAAATTCATCTTAATTACAAAGTTACTCTGCCATATATCTTTTATAGTTACCTGATATCAATGGATGTTCATCTGCCCTACATTAATATTTTTTTTAGAAAGAGGTTCATAGGTGTGAATGTGGGTTGTCTGTGTTGGCCCTGCTACAGATCGGCGACCTGCCTCTCGCCCTATTAGCTGGGATAGGCTCCTGGGATAGACGTCTTCCTGATGTATGTATTCCACTTGTTGTACATACTACTCTTCTCTGAAATTTATTCTTGCTGTTCAGCTATTTATATTTGTATTCCATCCACAGTTTGTGAGGTGAATCCACAATTTTGCTGTACGTGTGCAATAACATGGCTATTCTATTCTATTCTATTCTATTCTATTTTTTCCTTCTTTTTTTTTTGGCAATACTGACACAGGCAATACATGGACTCTACAAAGGTTGCACAGGAAGTTCAGCCCCTCCATGTCTGCCAGCACAGTCTCAAGAGCATGGAGGAGATTCTCTGTGCAAGGAAGAACAGGATGGGCAATCTCAGAGCTCCACCAGTGGAGTCAGTTCTAGATTCCTCCTGGTGCATGACAATACCTCAAATGCCTCTATGCAGGCAGTTCCTGGAGGATAAGGAATTAATACCATTGACAGGCCACCATGCTCTTCTGACCTAAACCCTTCTGGGATATTATCTTTTGGTCCACCCCAACACTGCTAGGTTGCACCTTAGATTGTCCAGCAGCTCAGTGATGCCCCGCTCTAGACTTGGAAGGAGACCTCCCAGTATCAATGACACTGAAAATAGCTGTACATAATGTAATTTCTGTGAGACCGTTATGAGTATTGTTTTTTCTAACAGTTAAAATTCTATTTGTGAAGAAACTGATGAAGTCGTTACCAGTGAAGGTTAAAAGCACAACAGAGCTCTGACTCTTTGTGACTCATTCTTCTTTGTGCTGTGCTTCCCAACACCAGAGGGCACTGCTCTGTGCTGCTATGCACCAGCTGACTAATAACCTTATTGCCAGTTCCTTTCCAGATGAGGATTCATTGCATCAGAGTTACACAGCTATTATATATAGCATGCCACAGTTTCATGCCCTGTAGGTGTTGCATTGATCATAATGTTCAGTATTCTGAGATATTAAGGTCTCAGTCCCACTGGGGTTTGCTGATCATCTTTAGAGAGCAAATTCTTACATTACAACAGCTAAATTATCAGCCAATTAGATCCGAATTAAAAATCACAAGTTCTGCAATGACAGTAGCTCTAAGAAATTATATCACTGCTGTGGTCAAAAGCAATTTACTAGTCAGCAACAAAATCTGTTTGTTTTTAATGTTTTGGTAGAGTTTGGAACAAATATTAGAGCATAGTTTAATTAAGCATCTGTTGAGAGGTGTGTGAGGCTACCAGTGTAACATGTGCTCAATAGAGCTCACTTACCCATCTTAAAATATCGCAAGGTTTCAGATTCTTTTGTCTTACTGGGGTGTTCTGGCAACAAAATACTAATAATCATTCCAGAAAAAATTAGGCTAAGCAAAATAGACAGGTGGAGCTGGATTAAGTGGGATCAGGATACACAAAGTGACTCTGAGGCTACGTTCACACTGCAGGTCTTAATGCTCAATTCCAATTTTTTGATCAAATCCGATTTTTTTGTCTGCTTGTTCACACTACAAATAAAATGCGACAGCAAACGCGCTCTAGTGTGAATGCCCAAAGCGGCCCGCATGCGCAAAAGAAGGCGTCACACACAACGCGCTCTGTTTAGACCCAGCACAAACAGCATTGTTTGATAGATGGCCCTTAATATAAAGACTTCGGACTTTACGTTTCCCAATTTTTGCTTGAAGTTATTTTGTTATTTACATAATAATGTAAATAACCTAATAATGATCCTTGTTGCTGTTTTAGAGGAGCGGTGCTTCAAAGGATAGCTGCAGATTTCTGTCAGAATCTACAGATTATACAGTACAAATAAAATGTTCACGTTTCTCCAACGTTGTCTTCCCAACAGTTTCACTGACATCTACACTGGATGGCCAGGAAGTGTTCGCAATGTCTTCTCGGGCGCTTCTCCGGCGCTGATAATTGGCGTCTGTCTTGTGTCGGTGACGTAAAAGACGGATTTAATGCGACCTGACCATCAAACAGCAGTCGCTTTCTAAAACACCAGATATGTATCGGATTCAGCACCACATACGAAAGTGACCCAGATCGGATTTGAAAATATCGGATTTGTGTCGTTCACACTGTCAGACCATGATGGGATAGATGGGTCGCAGGGGGTCAAAAAAAATCGGATTTGATGCGCTTTCGCCTGCAGTGTGAACGTAGCCTAAGACATTCCAGTCAGTAATATGGTCCTCTCTTTCTTTGAGAGAAATCTCTAAAGAGGAGCCACTAAACCAATCAAAACCTTAAGATGGATAAAGTCACTAATTTACAGCATTCAATGAGTCACTGAGTTGCTAATACAACATAAGTTTTAATGCAATAATAAAAACTGTATGCAAACTGAGAAAACATGAATAAAGAAAGAAAAACACATGAAAGTATTTTTACCTGATGGCTTCACTGCGAAGTTCTACGAACATTTCTGCTCATTTCCATCTCCACTACTCATAAGAATGACCTCAGATTTTAAAACCAGTCTCACCAAGTTTGAACACAGCAATGATCACCCTGCTTTCCAAACCAAATAAAGATTACGCCAGCCTCTCTGACTGTCAGCTGCTTTCTCAAATCAATACAGACATTAAAATTATA